AAGCTTGCAGTGTTGCTTTTATAATTTGCTGCAGTGAAGGTTTTGTTTTCATTTTCTCTCTATGAGAGCTAGGGGTGTCACGATTTCGATTTTTTAATCGAAATCGATCGAAATGTATGCTCAATTTCGATTATCGAATCAAAAAATAGAATCGTTGATGCTGCCACGCCCCCATGTCACGTCAGCTTGGCTTGCCAAGCGGAAAAAAAACAGGCTTGTTGAAGTGCTTGTTAAACTGCAGAAGCAGGAGACCCGTCGACAAAACTTAAACCCTCTCCTCTTTCAATGAAGTCGTCGGTGTGTAAGCATTTTGGATTTCCAGTGAGTTATGTTGACAACGTTCGTGTTGTCGACAAAAAAAACACAGTTTTGCAAGCTCTGCTATGTACGTATTATGTACGGTTCGTCCGATAGACAACACCGGCATAGCGATCCTCCGCCCGCCCCCGTTGCAAATGCGCTTGCGAAAAGTACACACTCAGGCCCTGTTTACACTGTCTTTGTTTTTAAAATGGCATTTTAGAACGACAACGATTTGACATCCACAGTGGCGTGTAGCATTTCTGAGCAGCCCTCCTTCCTCACTACCTCTGAAAATGCACATCACGTGACCACACAGACACAGCCATGCGCTCGAGACAGCAGGTCCAGGCAGTCAGAGGACTGCTTCAATCTTTCACTCACTTGTACTTAGTCATTTTAGCGAACATCTCAGATATTGTTGGCTGGTTCCTGTTGGTTGTGCGTCTATTTTACCGACGCCATTATAACGACACAGATCACTGCCTATTCACGCGCCCCGCAGAAAAAGTGATTGACAGGTGGTAATTATGTGTGTATTTTGCCTTTATTCATTTACTGTATGATTTGTTTATGGGTAAAACAAAGACCATGCAGGTCAGGTAGTTTAAACGGTAGGCTACAAATAATTAATTGGTCAATAATTAATTATTCATAATCGAAAATCGAATCGAATCGTGCCTTTAGAATCGAAAATGTAATCGAATCGAGGATTTGGAGGATCGTGACACGCTTAATGAGAGCGCAGCTGGACTCACGTGTGGATTACATTGCACGCAGGGAGTGACAACAATAACTTACGTGTCTAAGGAACATTGTTTATCCGAGAGCTTTTCTGATCTGGAAATGGTGAGATCCGGATTCGCTGCTCGTCTCCTCTTAATAAAGACGCAGTTCTAGTTGCTGTTGATTGTCCTGTCTCTACAGGGACAGAAGGGCCAGACCATTTTTTATTTAAACAAAAAGTAAATGCGACACAAGCTAATTGTCAGAGATGGACCGTAAAAAAGAAAAGGCAGTGCCGTAAAGCTCAGAGAAAGCCATAAAAATGGCTCTAAAATCAGACGCTGCCAAATGCATAAAATGAACTGAAACATTCTCGAAAGGGGGCAACACAGTGGCGCAGTGGGTAGTGCTATCACCTCACAGCAAGAAGGTTGCTGGTTTGAGCCTTAGCTGGGTCAGTTGGCATTTCTGTGTGGAGTTTGCATGTTCTCCCCGTGTTGGTGTGAGTTTCCCCCACAAGTCCAAAGACATGCACTATAGGTGAATTGGGTAAGCTAAATTGTCCGTAATGTATGTGTGTATGGGTGTTTCCTAAAACATATGCTTAATAAGTTGGCAGTTCATTTTGCTGTGGCAACCCCAGATTAATAAAGGAACTAAGCCCAAAAAAAAAGGAATGAATGAAATTAATGTATCTATAAATGAGTTATAAATGGGTTGTTTTTGTTCCAGTCTCATACATTAAATGTTTAAATATCTATTACATATGGTACTGCTTATATTATTTCACCATCTGTACACCAATATAAGTAGTGAATGTGCATGTCTGTGGGTGGGGCTGTGTAGGTGTTGTAATGTGGCCTGGTGTGGCTACAGTGCCAGGGCAAATTTTTTGTCCCAGTCCGCCCCTGTGTATAATAATATATACACTGTAAATATTCCGTATATACCGCATTTTGATGAACTGCGAACCCTCATGTCTACCTGCTTCACAAAACTGCTCCTTTTTAGTCTCCCTGCCTCTTCACTTTCAAAATAAGAGTTCCACATACATAGTATGTTTAATACAAGCTTGAACAAACCTAAAATATTTGTCAAAAATTATCAAAAATTTGCATTATTGCAATACCACTCTCACAACAAATGATTTAGCCAATCAAATGCAGTCTGGGGCATGCATATTAATGATGCCGCATGGATCGTTAGAGTCTGTGTTTTGTTCAGACTGGCCTGTCTTCCACCAGGATTTTACACTCACTGTATTTATATGAGAACAAGAATATAATAGTGCTTGAGATACAGAATATGTGATTGCCTTTTACTGAAACCTTATTTGTCATCTCCATAGGTATATTCAGGTTTTCATTCTATGGCAGCTTTCAAATTCAATGAACTTTTATCATGCACCAGACCATGTATAAAATCAACACAAGGATGACTGATAAAAATAAAGAGACGTTTGCTGAAACTGCTAAATAAATTAAACAAATCAAATAAAGCATGTACCTTTAAAAGTTTGGCAAATGTCTCATAGATGAAGATGAGGGAGATGAGGATGGAGAAGATCTCTTGAGTGAAGCGGGAGATGAAGCGAACCAGGAAGCTTCCTTCTAATGCAACAATCCCCACCACGATGACCACCAGCCAAATGCCCACCCACACTCGGCCTACGATGTACTCAATGCCCTGAGACTTACAGAACTAGAGCAAGGAAAAGCATGGTTTTTGCATAGTGTGTGCGGTAAACAGCAATGACACTGTACGCATGTCAGAAAGAGAGAGACATACTCACATTAAAAAAGGCCTCTTCAAACACCAGCAGTGGCCCAGAAAAGCCGATAACTAGTACAGGTTGAGCAGCGATCAGACAGAAGATAATGCCCAGAAGTGAAGTGGAGATCATCAGCTCCGACACTCCCATCATGTTATCCACCTTATCAGCTATGAGAAAAGTAAGAGCTAAACTAAAGTTTATAAGATGAGTTTTGCTGATTTTCCAGTTTCAAGTTCATTTTGCTGTAACAATTCAGTAGGGCCAAACAAAATCTGTGGATATTTTTAGCTATATTTCTGCTAATTATTTAAAAAAATCTGCAGATTCACTCGGAATACTTTTGGGTGTATCGTAACTAAAAACTTATTATGTTAAATAAATAATAACAAATTTTTTACTTTTATTTAATGTTTACAATGCAAATCCTTATCCATTCATTTGGTAAGCAAAGCAAGTCTCTCATATAATACATCTACAATATATCGTATATAAACGTTTTCATATTAGTGAGTAATATTACTGAAATTAATTTAAAAGCTGAATAAATATAAATTGCACACATTTACACTCAACTAAATAAATAGACTCAATGATGGGCTGAAAATCTGCAGCTAATCACCTAAGAGTCAAATAAAAACTTTATTTCTGCCACATTATATATCATCGAATTTGTAAAGTGTAAATATTATTTCCATATGGGTAACAAAACCAGGTTTTTCTTAAAAAACTGCTGTTTTTTATCTAACTACTGCATATTGGGTATTATTGGGTAAAATTGCAGCTTCAAAATAATGATGCTTTAATTTTGTTGCAGTTTAGCCTAAACTTCTGAATTTTAGAATTAGTTTTTTGTTTATTAATCATTTGAAGGCAATATAATTAATATTCACATATACCGAAAGTGAATTTTAACACTGAAATATTGAGGTAAGATGTATGAAACTAAACATTTACCTTTCTTTTACAACAGTAATGGACAACTAGATTCTTAAAGTTTGAGAACAAACTTTGAGGCTGGCTTGTGAAAGCCTGACGGTAATAGTTTATTTAGTTTAAACAGTTTTTAAAAGTATGAAAAGATAGATATATAGCTAGATAGATAGCTTGATAGATAGATAGATAGATAGATAGATAGATAGATAGATAGATAGATAGATAGATAGATAGATAGATAGATAGATAGATATATTAGCATGGTATTAGCATGATTCTAACGTGAATTAGCATGTTGTTAGCATGATTCTAGCGGGAATTAGCATGTTGTTAGCATGATTTTAGCATGATTTAGCATGTTGTTAGCATGATTCTAGCTTGAATTAGCATGTTGCTAGCATAATTCTAGCATGAATTAGCATGTTACTAGCACGTTTCTAGCATGAATTAGCATGTTACTAGCACGATTCTAGCATGAATTAGCATGTTACTAGCACAATTCTAGCATGAATTAGTATGTTACTAGCACAATTCTAGCATGAATTAGCATGTTGTTAGCACGATTCTAGCATGTTGTTAGCACGATTCTAGCATGAATTAGCATGTTGTTAGAACGATTCCAGCACGATTCTAGCATGAATTAGCATGTTACACGCATAATTTTAGCATTAATTAGCATGAATTAGCATGTTGTTAGCATGATTCTAGCATGATTTAGCATGTTACTAGCATGATTCTAGCATGAATTAGCATGTTGTTAGCATGATTCTAGCATGATTTAGCATGTTACTAGCATGATTCTAGCATGAATTAGCATGTAACTAGCATGATTCTAGCATGATTTAGCATGTTACTAGCATGATTCTAGCATGAATTAGCATGTTGTAAGAACGATTCTAGCACGATTCTAGCATGAATTAGCATGTTACACGCATAATTTTAGCATTAATTAGCATGAATTAGCATGTTGTTAGCATGATTCTAGCATGATTTAGCATGTTACTAGCACGATTCTAGCATGAATTAGCATGTGACTAGCATGATTCTAGCATGAATTAGCATGTTACTAGCATGATTCTAGCATGATTTAACATGTTGTTAGCATGAATTAGCATGTTACTAGCATCAGCATGTTACTAGCATGAATTTAGCATGAATTAGCATGATTCTAGCATGAATTAGCATGTTACTAGCACGATTCTAGCATGAATTAGCATGTGACTAGCATGATTCTAGCATGAATTAGCATGTTACTAGCATGATTTAACATGTTGTTAGCATGAATTAGCATGTTACTAGCATCAGCATGTTACTAGCATGATTTTAGCATGAATTAGCATGATTCTAGCAGGAATTAGCATGTTGTTAGCATGATTCTAGCATGAATTAGCATGTGACTAGCATGATTCTAGCATAAATTAGCATGTAACTAGCATGATTCTAGCATGAATTAGCATGCTGTTAGCATGATGGATAGATAGATAGATAGATAGATAGATAGATAGATAGATAGATAGATAGATAGATAGATAGATAGATAGATAGAGGTAGATAGATCGATAGATCGATAGATAGATAGATAGATAGATAGATAGATAGATAGATAGAGGTAGATAGATAGATAGAGGTAGATAGATTGATAGATCGATAGATAGATAGATAGATAGATAGATAGATAGATAGATAGATAGAGGTAGATAGATCGATAGATCGATAGATAGATACAGGTAGATAGATAGATAGATAGATAGATAGATAGATAGATAGATAGATAGAGGTAGATAGATCGATAGATCGATAGATAGATACAGGTAGATAGATAGATAGATAGATAGATGGATAGATAGATAGATAGATAGATAGATAGATAGATAGATAGATAGATAGATAGATAGATAGATAGATAGATAGATAGATCAAACAAACCAACCCCCGCTTCTCTACGATGTTCTGATGCTGAGATATAGCTGGTGCTATATCGTTGCTAGGTTAGTTTGTTTTGTTGCTATGGAGTTGATTGACAGCTTAGACCGATGATGTATCAAAGCTGCTTGACAGTATGAACAGTTAAAAACAACCCCCATGTCTCTATCACACTGCAGCATGACAATATCAGTCTGAACCTCTTTAATGGCAGTCTATGGGACAGTTGCTAGGGTGCAGTATCTGGTTGTTAGGGTGTGGCTAGAAAGTTAAAAGGCCATCAGTGATTGGCTGCTGGCTTGACTGAGTTAAATGAGCTCAGCCATTAGTCTGTAGGATAGTCTGATGCAGAGTTATGACCTCACAAAGTTTGATCCAATGTAAAGTCAATGAGAGTTTTTTGCAATGGAAGTCTATGGGACGGTTTCTAGGGTCCAAAAGTGGTTGCTAGGGCGTGGCCAGAAAGTTTAAAGGTGATCAGTCATTGGCAGTTTGATAGTCTGAGTTAAATGAGCCCAGTTAGAAGTCTGTGTGACATTCTGATGCGGAGTTATGAGGTCATTAAGTTTGATCCAATGTTACGTCTATGGGATTTTTCCGACGGTCCCGGGACGTTTTTCGGAAAACCGAAAGTCGGATCAGTCGGAAAAGATATAGCAACTCGAGTCAGAATAGGTCAGAGGTCTGACTCGAGTTTGATGGTCATAGCTTGAAAGGCCTAGGACGAGATACAGTTTAATTTTTAGTCTCAGAAGAAGAATAATAACTAGATTCTTAAAGTTTGAGAACAAACTTTGAGGCTGGCTTGTGAAAGCCTGACGGTAATAGTTTATTTAGTTTAAACAGTTTTAAAAAGTAAGAAAAGATAGATAGATAGATAGATAGATAGATAGATAGATAGATAGATAGATAGATAGATAGATAGATAGATAGATAGATAGATAGATAGATTAGCATGTTATTAGCATGATTCTAGTGTGAAATAGCATGTTATTAGCATGATTCTAGCATGAATTAACATGTTACTACCATGATTTTAGCATGAATTAGCATGTTGTTAGCATGATTTTAGCATGAATTAGCATGTTACTAGCATGATTATAGCATGAGTTAGCATGTTGTTAGCATGATTCTAGCATGATTTAGCATGTTGTTAGCACGATTCTAGCATGAATTAGCATGTTACTAGCATGATTCTAGCATGAATTAGCATGTTGTTAGCATAATTCTAGCATGAATTAGCATGTTTCTAGCATGAATTAGCATGTTGTTAGCACGATTCTAGCATGAATTAGCATGTTACTAGCACGATTCTAGCATGAATTAGCATGTTACTAGCATGATTCTAGCATGAATTAGCATGTTGTTAGCACGATTCTAGCATGAATTAGCATGTTACTAGCACGATTCTAGCATGAATTAGCATGTTGTTAGCACGATTCTAGCATGAATTAGCATGTTGTTAGCACGATTCTAGCATGAATTAGCATTTTACTAGCATGATTCTAGCATGAATTAGCATGTTACTAGCAAGATTCTAGCATGATTTAGCATGTTACTAGCATGATTCTAGCATAAATTAGCATGTTGTTAGCATGATTCTAGCATGATTTAGCATGTTACTAGCATGTTTCTAGCATGAATTAGCATGTTACTAGCACGATTCTAGCATGAATTAGCATGTTACTAGCACGATTCTAGCATGAATTAGCATGTTGTTAGCATGATTCTAGCATGAATTAGCATGTTACTAGCATGATTCTATTATAAATTAGCATGTTACTAGCATGATTCTAGCATGAATTAGCATGTTACTAGCATGATTCTAGCATGAATTAGCATGTTGTTAGCATGATTTTAGCATGAATTGGCATGTTACTAGCATGATTCTAGCATGAATTAGCATGTTGTTAGCATGATTCTAACATGAATTAGCATGTTACTAGCATGATTCTAGCATGAATTAGCATGTTGTTAGCATGATTCTAGCATGAATTAGCATGTGACTAGCATGATTCTAGTATGAATTAGCATGTTGTTAGCATGATTCTAGTATAAATTAGCATGTGACTAGCATGATTCTGGCATGAATTAGCATGTGACTAGCATGATTCTAGTGTGAATTAGCATGTAACTAGCATGTTTCTAGCATGAATTAGCAAATTGTTAACATGATGGATAGATGGATGGATAGATGATAGATAGATAGATAGATAGATAGATAGATAGATAGATAGATAGATAGATAGATAGATAGATGATAGATAGATAGATAGATAGATAGATGATAGATAGATAGATAGATAGATAGATAGATAGATAGATAGATAGATAGATAGATAGATAGATAGATAGATAGATACATAGACAGATAGACAGATAGATAGAGGTAGATAGATAGATAGATAGATAGATAGATAGATAGATAGATAGATAGATAGATAGATAGATAGATAGACATAGATAGATAGATAGATAGATAGATAGATAGATAGATAGATAGATAGATAGATAGAGGTAGATAGATAGATAGATAAATAGATAGATAGATAGATAGATAGATAGACAGATAGATAGAGGTAGATAGATAGAAAGATAGATAGATAGATAGATAGATAGAGGTAGATAGATAGATAGATAGATAGATAGATAGATAGATAGATAGATAGATAGATAGATAGATAGATAGATAGATAGATAGATGGTGTAAGCATGAGTTAAACAAGCCAACCCCCGCTTCTCTACGTTGTTTTGATGCTGAGATATAGCTAGTGTTATATCGTTGCTAGGTTAGTCTGTTTTGTTGCTATGGAGTTGATTGACAGCTTAGACTGATGATGTATCAAAGCTTCTTGCCAGTATGAACAGTTAAAAACAACCCCCATGTCTCTATCATAATGCAGCATGACAATATCAGTCTGAACCTCTTTAATGGCAGTCTATGGGACAGTTGCTAGGGTGCAATATCTGGTTGTTAGGGCGTGGCTAGAAAGTTAAAAGGCCATCAGTGATTGGCTGCTGGCTAGACTGAGTTAAATGAGCTCAATCATTAGTCTGTAGGACAGTCTGATGCAGAGTTATGAGCTCACAAAGTTTGATCCAATGTAAAGTCAATGAGAGTCTTTTGCAATGGAAGTCTATGGGACGGTTTCTAGGGTCCAAAAGTGGTTGCTAGGGCGTGGCCAGAAAGTTTAAAGGTGATCAGTCATTGGCAGTTTGATAGTCTGAGTTAAATGAGCCCAGTTAGAAGTCTGTGTGACATTCTGATGCGGAGTTATGAGGTCACAAAGTTTGACCCAATGTTACGTCTATGGGATTTTTCCGACGGTCCCGGGACGTTTTTCGGGAAACCGAAAGTCGGATCAGTCGGAAAGGATATAGCAACTCGAGTCAGAATAGTTCGGAGGTCTGACCCGAGTTTGATGGTCATAGCTTGAAAGGTCTAGGTGGAGATAGAGTTTAATTTTTAGTCTCAGAAGAAGAATAATAATATTAATAATAAAAATAATAATAAGTTTAATAGGATAACAGTAGTCTGGCTTGCTACACAAGCCAGCCTAATAATATTAAGTTTAATAGGATAACAGTAGTCTGGCTTGCTACACAAGCCAGCCTAATCATACAAGCTACTGGGTTTCTTAGTTTTAGAATTTTAGCATTTTACATAAGAAAATAAAAAAATATATATGCTGTTTAATTTTCAAATGTACTAAATCAAAATATAATGTAGTTTTTATTACAGTGTTTAAAATTCAAACACACTCATATATTAAATGTGAAGTATGCAAGTTTGACACCCAGTGGTTGAACTAGGTATTGCACGCTTAGTTCAAAACACACATGCAGGTTGCCAGATTGATGATACCAACAGCAGTGTGCCTGACTGCCTTAGTGCCTAAATGCTAATTTAAGGTCGCATTTACATTGCATGGTTTAAGTCACTTAATTCCGCCCATGTACATGTAAGCAGGAACAAATCACATGGATTCCGATTTACTCAAATCAGATTCAGGCCTTGTTTATATGTGATATGAATCGGATCTGTGTTCTCGTGTCTGCAGTGTAAGCAGGTAGATCGGATTTTTACCTGTCAATGAGAGTCGCGCATCATTAAAAACCATAGCGAATGATGTCAAGTCTGACACTTTCATTTCAGAACAGACTTTAGCAGAGTCCCAAACCTTAAATCTCACACACGAGGACTTAAACAGCTTTTATATTGTCATATAGCACAGATATTTAAGCATGTTAACGAGAGAGAGAGAGAGAGAGAGAGGAGAGAGAGAGCGAAATGTCCACCATGTAACCAGTATAAACTAATATAAAACTAGTGCATAGCTACATCACGTGCATAAATCACACCATGGACATTACATTAAGATGCCTAAAGGTTTAAAAAAGCCTATATATCAAAACAAGATAGACAAATGAGAACCTTTCTGTCATAAACTATAGTAAAACAGCTTGTCAAAAGCTGCGAACAGATTACATACAGGAATAGAGAAAAGAGCACTCTTTAATTATCAGCTGTTAGTCAGCACCCGCTCTTTTTTTTCTGGTCATTGCGCCTTTGCTGTGTGCTGTGTAAATACAGACGATCGGATACGAGTCACTTTTAAAAGATGATGTAAGCAGGTCATCAAAAAAATCAGATACAGCCACAAAATCAGGAATTGACCATCAAGATCTGCAGTGTAAATGCAGCCTAAATCTAATTTAAGTCATGTTCTAAAAATAAAAGCAATGGTGCACTACAGAAGGAATAATTTCCATATTAAAATGAGTCTTTGTTCTAACCAATACCTGAAATTTATAGTTAAGAAACGGCTTTTATTTCTTGCAGCTGAACAACAGAAAACTGACCATGATTAACTCAGCTATACCTCATGTGCTTTATTCAGTGCTAAACGCTTATAATGTGAGTTTGAATGCCATTTTATATGACATTTATTGCCATTCAACTGAAAGCAGCAGCAGATAGTTCACCTCAGATCTTGAAAATAAAATAAATCATTTGAAATTGAGCTGTAGAATTGTAACTCAGTGCAAACCTAGACAGATCAGTGATTCAGTTTGAACATTTAATAGTGTTAAAAAGCTTTAATATGTATTAATTAGGTTATAAACATGACCATTTGTTGGAGTGCAGTGAGTGCACTATTCTATGCTTCTGAATAGCTGTATTTAAATTTCTGTCATGTTTCGTCTGGTGCAAACAGCCAAATCGCTCGTCACTGCAAATCTCATAATCATGTAGCGTGTTGTTAGGACACGGGGTTACAATGTAACCTGCTCGCCTAATGTTTACGTTCATAATATGTATATTATTTGCTAACTAATAGCCACCTTATGTGTATCTCATTTCAGAGTCTGCTACTGTCCATAAGAGGTCGCATTTCGGTTTGGGACGAATACTTTGGGAGCCTTCCTGACTGAAGGAATAATGAATTACACTGTTTTCCAACAAGGCAACCCAGGGTGCTGAAATATAATTGGCATTGGTTAAATGACCAAAACAAAGACAAATGTTCTGGCATGTAATGCACATTTTCAAAGCAGAATATCGGACTTCAGCATTGTTTTTCAGATTATGTTCACTTAGCATCTTTCTTAAATATCTGCAAACATATTACAGTATTTGTATGCTTTAGAAGACTCTAACACACAGCTTCATTAAATATTTACATTTCCACAATGACAACTACCTAAACAAAGATTTTAATACATTCACTTGTTATGACTCTGTGAGCTTTCAGAGAATTTGGAAAGCACTTGTTTGGTGTTTGTGAATGAAGCCTTGACCAGGCTAAACATACCGAGCAGACCTCCGAAGGTGATGGCAGGTGAGAGTGCAGCAAAGTAAATGAAGATGATGGCAGCAAGAACCTGAGCGTTCAGAGCATCAGTGAGGTCGCTGATGTAGTGTTTGTATCGTCTTTTCATGTCTCTGATCATCCCACCGAACGGGACACCAGTACGTGTTAGTGGGTCTTCCGGAGGAGGTCCTGAAGATTTTGAAGCTATGAGAAGATAGATTAGCATTAGATCTATGTGCTGCTTAGCTTTTGTCTTCACCAAGTATTTTTTCTGTGTCATACTATGTGTGGCATGTTGGATCAGTATATATATATATTAGGGATGTAACGGTATCAGAATTTCACGGTACGGTAATACCTTGGTATGAATGTCACGGTACGGTATTTATTGAATCATTTACAGGAAAAAACAAAACTTATGAAAATACTCCCAAAAAAGTGCCAAAAGTGTCAATGACATACAAATTAGCCATCTATCTGTAAGCTTTGAAACAGGAACTTCAATTTTAATAACAAAAAAATATTAAACCATGTAAAAAAAATAAAGTTTCAATTTAGTATTGTTGAAAACTCATCACATTCAACATTTAATCACTCACTCACTTAGATAGAGATGGGTTTAAAGGAAAATTATCATATAAATATAATCTGGTAAAAGCTGGTATCTCTGGGCATTTACAATGTCCCCTGCAACAGAAAAAAACCCCTCTCATTTGGGACTGAGGTTTCTGGGACAAGAGAGATATGACTTGGCCCAGGTTGACAGCAGTGGGTAACGTTGTGCATTGTCTTTCCCCCACTTGAGAGGACAAACCATGAGTAAGATAGAGGTCTCATGTCTGCATCAATCTGAACAGTGTGCTGACAACACCGCTATTCAGTACGCGCGCGACAACACAGCTGATAAGAACTCGCGCGACAACACAGCTGATAAGAACTCGCGCGACAATACCGCTATTCAGTACGCGCGCGACAACACAGCTGATAAGAACTCGCGCGACAACACCGCTATTCAGTACGCGCGCGGCGACAACACCCAAATATATATTTTATATATATATATATATATATAATTCTAACAACTGATCCAACATGCCACCCTTTTTCCCATCTAGAAACCACACTCATGATCATATGTTCTAAAAGAGGACTCTTGAGGTTTTTGAAAGGAACAGTGAGCGAATCAAAGAACTCCGTCACCAATACGTCTAGGTAAGGTTATGCAATTCAGACATTACTGTCGTATACACAGTGTGTTTTGCAGTAAACTACTCTATAAAGCTGAAGTTCATTAGTACATACAGTAGATATACAGTACAGTACAGCATTTACATACACTGTGTCTAATTACTTTCAGAGAGTCGTGGAGTTGGAGCCCAATCAAGTCCCACATGAAATTATCTATGTTGATGAGGCTGCCTTCAATTTGGCGAAAAAGCTTCGCCATGGGAGAAACATAATAGGCCAAAGGGCCACAGTTTACGTGCTGGGCCAGAGTATATATATATAAATCTTGGCCAACTAAAAATATGAACATGAAAAGGATGAGTATGCACAGCTCTTGATACTTAGTTGGGGCTCCTTTTGCCTGAATTACTTCAATAATACGACGTGGATCATGGAGTGGATCAGAGAGCCCAGTTATGAGAGCTCAGGTTTGATAGTGGCCTTCACCTCCTCTGGCATATCACATCTGGCATGGGTCTGGCATATCGCATCTTCTGGGTCAAGCGAGTTTGCTGGCCAATTAACAACAGGGATACCATGGTCCTTAAACCAGGCACTTATAGCTTTGGCACTGCGTTCAGGTTACGTCCTGTTGGAAAATAAAATCACCTCTATAAAGTTGGTCAGTAGCAGGAAGCATGAAGGACTCTTAAATATTCTGGTATAAAGCTGCATTGACCTGGACCTCAGAAAACACAGTGGAGCAACACCGATAGATGACATGGCAATCCAAACCATCACTGACTGTGGAAACTGTACACTAAACCTAAAGCAACGTGGATTGTGTGCCTCTTCTTTCTTCCTCCAGATTGTGGTACCCTGATTTCCGAAGAAAATGCAAAATGTCCTTTCATCAGAGAACATGGAGCACTCAGCGGCAGTCCAGTCTTTAGCCCAGGTGAGACACTTCTGACGCTGTCTGCTGTTCAGGATTAGCTTGACATAAAGAATGCATGAGCTGAAACCCATGTCTTGCAAACATCTGTGTATAGTGATTCTTGAAGCACTGACTCCAGCTGCAGTCCACTCTTTGTAAATCTCCTCCACATTTTTAAATTGAATTTGTTTCACAATTCTCTCCAGGTTGCATTTGTCCTATTACATTTTTACCATATATTTTAGCTCTGGGAACAGCCAGCCTACAAGTTTCACATCTTGAATGGAATTTGTGATAATAAATCGACTTTTCAAGGTATTCTTATTATATGACCAGCACCTGTACAGTAACATCATGTGTGTGACTGAGTGATTGGGTCCTTACGCTTGCGAGGTTTGACATCCAGGCGAAGTTTAGGATTGGAGGGCCGGAGTCTCTCTTGCAGCAGTTTCTTCTGGAAGGGGATGAGTGATGTTAGCAAAGACTCATTCTGAATCTCAGTGGGTGGAATCACGATGCAGCAGTCCATAAAGTCTCCCACTGCATCTGTGAGCTCTCGGTCACTCTGAGCCTGGAAAGCTGCTTGGTTAAATACCTGTGTGTGAAAGACAGGTGCAGAACAAAAAGAGAGTAACAGCTTAGAAAAAATATATACAGTCACAATCAGAATGATTAACTCCCCTGAATTATTAACCCCGCTGTTTATTTTTTCCCCTAATTTCTGTTTAACATAGAGAAGATTTTTTTCAACACATTTCTGAACATAATAGTTTTAGAGACTCATTTCTAATAACTGATTTATTTTATGTTTGTCATGATGACAGGGTTGAGGGCCGTCTCATCCCTGTATGAACAGAGTAGGAGTCTGGTTCGCATTGCCGGCAATAAGTCAGATTTGTTTCCAGTGCATGTTGGACTCCGGCAGGGCTGCCCCTTGTCACCAATCCTATTAATAATTTTTATAGACAGAATTTCAAGGCGCAGCCTTGGGCTGAAGGGGGTCCGGTTTGGGGAACACAGAATTTCATCTCTATTATTCGCAGATGATGTTGTTCTGTTGGCTTCATCAGACATGGACCTTCAGCATGCACTGGGGCGGTTTGCTGCCGAGTGTGACGCGACTGGGATGAGAATCTGCACCTCCAAGTCCGAGGCCATGGTGCTCCACCGGAAAAAGGTGGTTTGCCATCTCCAGGTTGGAGGAAAGTCCTTACCCCAGGTGGAGGAGTTTAAGTATCTCGGTGTTTTGTTCACGAGTAAGGGAAGGATGGAACGAGAGATTGACAGGCGGATTGGTGCAGCGGCAGCAGTAATGCGGTAGATGTACTGGTCCGTTGTGGTGAAGAAGGAGCTGAGCCGAAAGGCAAAGCTCTCGATTTACCGGTCAATCTACGTTCCTACTCTCACCTATAGTCATGAGTTTTGGATTATGACCGAAAGTACAAGATCTCGCATACAAGCGGCCGAAATGAGTTTCCTTCGAAGGGTGGTAGGGCGCACTCTTATGGATAGGGTGAGGAGCTCTGTCACCCGGGAGGAGCTCGGAGTAGAGTCGCTGCTCCTTCACATCGAGAGAAGTCAGCTGAGGTGGCTTGAGCATCTGTTTTGGATGCCTCCTGGACGCCTACCTAGGGAACTGTTCCAGGCATGTCCCACCGGGAGGCAGCCTCGGGGAAGACCTATGACATGCTGGAGGGACTATGTTTCTCGGGTGGCCTGGGAACGCCTCGGGATCCCCCCGGAGGAGCTGGAGGAAGTGTCTGGGGATAGGGAAGTCTGGGGTTCTCTTCTAAGACTGCTGCGCCCGCGACCCAGCCCCGGAAAAGCGGCAGAAGATGAATGAATGAATAAATGATGACAGTACATAATATTTGACTAGATATTTTTCATGACACTTCTATACAGCTTAAAGTGACTTTTAAAGGCTTAACTAGGCTAATCAGGTTAACTAGGCAGGTTAGGGTAATTTGGCAATTCATTGTATAACGATGGTTTGTACTGTAGAATATCGATATAGCTTTCTCCAGAATAAAAAATATTATCAGACATACTGTGAAAATTTCTTTGCTCTGTTAAACATCATTTGGGAATTTTTTTAAAAAGAAAAAAATTAAAAGGGGCTTTAATAATTCTGATTGCAACTGTATATATATTGCCTCACATTGTCTTTTCTTCTACTTGCATGAGCTATGTATTAAAACCTGCTCTGATGTGCATTCAAGTTGCTTTCTTGAGATCTCAGGTTATTATTATATAAAAAATATATTTGTACTAATTACTTAATAAATAAGAATTTAAACATCTTTATTTGTGATTTTAGTATTGTTTTGTCTACGCAAATACTTTATATTGTTTCAATTGAAACTTTTCTGTTAATGTTAGTTAGAATGAAGACGTTGTAATAATGCATTTGAAATAAATGACATTAAATTATAATATTGAATAACACTATAGTTTGAAGAAAAAATTACTTCACATGTGCTTAAGGATGTCAGTAGAATTCTAAATAATTGGATACCTTAAATAGTTACAAAATATATATACAGATTTAAAATCTGCTTTAAACTCAAAATCTTTACATGTATTAGGAAATCTCTAAGCACACTTAAGAGGCCATTAAGTTATTTCATATAATACTTACAACAAGTACAGTTGTAAACCTTTTTACAAAGTCAGTGTGATTGTGAAACATTTTATATAATGCCTATTAATTACTCTCTGTGAATATATATTATATGAACATAAAACACACACTTTTAAATGAGTTATAATAAAAGAAAAGTTGTGACATGGCTAAGTATGGTGACCCATACTCAAAATTTGTGCTAGTAGTACACAAATGCACTTCATTTTTAATTTAACCAGACATCACCTATATACTAAATAACTGCAGGTTAACTATGTTTATATATAATAACTTTAACTGTTAAAAGTTATTAGTTACTAGTTAATTAGTTAAAGTTATTAGTGACCAATAAAGTTATGGTGACTATGGTAACCTTAACTTTTTCGAGCTTGATTGTAATGTGTTAACGTGTACCTTTTCTAAAGCTGCTTTGAAACAATAACTACTGTGAAAGCGCTATACAAATAAAATTTAACAGTCACAAGTCCAACTCTCTAACCCACGGGTGACCAACCCTGTTCCAGGAGTTCTACCTTCCGGCAGATTTCATTTGCAACCTATATCAACACACCTGCCTGTAATTATCAAGTTCTGTTCAGGTCCTAATTTATTGGTTCAAGTGTGTTTGAGCACCTTTACTGTAACCATTAGGCCACAGCTGCACCACACAACCAAATAAACCATATTAAAATTATGCTAAATCTTAAGCTGAATCTAACAGTTGCATTGATCGCAGATTTGTTGTTTCTGTCCATTCTCTTACTTTGTCAGCGAGTAGAGCTGCCATCGCTCGACCACACTCGTGGTAGTTCATGCCATCTATGGTCGGGCCGATGAGGATGAAGATGAAACGCACAGGAACAGGAGCCTCCAGAGCCGACTCCAGCACCACAGCATCCCGAAGACGCACAAATACTACTGTAGGCCTCTCCAGGAACTCCAGAGCACCTTAAACAAACACAAACACCCTTAAATTACAGATCGTGTTTGCTGCTAACTAATACATATGTTACACTTTATAAACATATTTAACTACATCTTTAAATCTGTGCTTTTGAAATTCTTAAAAACATAAATTAATTTAATTCTCACCTACGAGCACCATCGAGGCCTCTGTTTTATCCGCTGTCTCCCTCTTTGAGAATAAAACCACAAATATGTCAAAACGTTACATCATTAAAACAATGATGAACATAAATGATATGGAGCATGGGCTAATTTTGCTATTAACGTTTACGAGAAGAAAACTTATGCTCACTTTCTCTGTGACAGAGAATTTCTCCATTTCCACATTTGAGGTCAGAGGCTGGGTCTCCACTGATTGGCTGAAGAGAGAGAAAGAGAGAGAGACAGAGAGAAATATAGTCATAGTCTCTGCCATGATGGCAATCCTTTTATGCAATTAAAAATTGGGCTTGTAAAAGACACTTATTATAGTATATCAGACTAAACAAATTGTATATTTTTGCAAATAATAAACTGGCATATGAAAGTTAAGCTTCGGTTACATTTGACACTGGTGGTGTGATTAGGACAAACAGTCACCGGCCACTTTATTAGGTACACCTTACTAGTACCGGGTTGGACCATGTTTGCATTAAGAACTACCATAATGCTTTGTGTCAGCGATTCAACAAGGATTGTAGCCTCAGTTTCCTGTTCTTAGCTGACAGGAGTGGCTCCCGGTGTGGTCTTCTGCTGCTGTAGCCCATTCGCCTCAAGGTTGGACGTGTTGTGAGTTCAGAGATGCTCTTCTGCAGTCCTCGGTTGTAACGAGTGGTTATTTGAGTTGCGGTTGCCTTTCTAACAGCTTGAACCAGTCTGGACATTCTCCTCTAACTTGTGACATCAACAAGGCATTTGCGCTCACAGAACTGCCGTTCACTGGATATTTTCTCTTTTTCTGACCATTCTCAAAACCCTACCCCTTGACCATGTGTACATGTCTTAATGCATTTGAATTGCTGCCATGTAATTGGCTGATTAGAAATTTGCATTAACGAGCAGCTGTACCTAATCAAGTGGCCGGTACGTGTTTATTACTGCCCATTAAACTATATTTCAACATTTCGTTAAAACAGAAAGACAGAGAAACAGGCAAAACAATCTGACAAAATACATTCATTTTATATGTACTATTATTATTACTACACTACATTCTGTAATAAAAGTAGGATCATAAACATACTTTGTCTTTCCTTTTACTTTGAAAAGTCATTAAATTTTCTTTTCTTTCAACCTTTAAACAACAGAGCATTTGTTTTGCCAGAATGCCACAGGGAACTTTTTCTTTTTAAAATCTCTTTTGTTGATGAAAGATCTACAAACCATTTAAATTATAGTACATACACAATTTTACCATGATTTTTATCACAGTAAACATGTAGCAAAATAGTTAACCATAATTTTACAAAAGCAAATTTGTTGACCTGTATAGTTTTACCACAAATACCATTGTTAACTATGGGTAGTGTGGCAATAATCATGGTTAATTTGTACTTACCATGGTTTAACTACAATTATCAAGTTTTTGGGGGGGATTTATTTGTAGTAAAATAAATCCAGAGACACTGAAAACACTGTTATCATGAGCTGCTTGTGCGAAAATATCACAGTGCTGCATCAGATAACATGCAGTCTCTGTTATTTGATAATCTTAAACCATTTGTGTCTTTCAGACATGGATAGAATTTATTTAAAAAGAGAGACTGGCGAGTAACACTGTATCATTTACTACTCACCAATGCTATTTTTACTTATAAGCTTAGCAACTGTTTGTTGTGGTAAGCTACAAAATGTTTCAAAGAATGACATACAGTACATACCTTGACTTTGACTGTTTTCGATACAACAAAAAGAAAACAACAGGCTACAATGGCCTATTTTCTCTTTTAAATTATATTATTTTTCTATGAATAATATTTATTTGTGTCCTTACTGCAGCTGGCTGTATAACACTATGGTGCTGCTTAAGAGATTTAAAGTACTTACACTTCGACATACAAAACTCATATTCAAGAAAATATTTTAGTGAAGTGTCAAGACTTTAAATAGTTTAATAACAACTTTGTGCTGACAGTCTGCTTGATGCGCATGCGCGTTATTAGCAGTGTACACAAGTAAACTTTTTTTGTGATCTAAAAAAAAAATTTAACTGAAGAAGATACAAATTCGAGAATATAACCGAGTTCCTGAATGCTTTAAGCAGCGACCTCCCGCATCTGACAAGATAGGCTACAGCAAGTCGATTTAAACAGTAAAGTTAGTTTAAATTATATAAAACGCGTCCAATGTTTTGACATTTTTACATGCTATCGCGACACAAAACTTTATTGATGTAGACGTCATTGTTTAAAATTAAGTAGTTTCGAATAACATCCCGCGCGCACACACACACACACACTATCAACACGTGCTGAGGTAAAACAGCTGCTTGTATCGGTAAACACGCGTGAATGACAGAAAATCGATTAAACATCTGACCATTTCACACCTACTTGACACTGTGGTTATCTAGTTAAAGTACAATGCAAGAAAACATTTTGTTATGCATGGCACTGTATAAGCTCCCCATCTGCAGCGAGACATCTTTAGTGAGTATTGCTCTCCTAGTGAGTGTGTGAGTAGCCATGCTTTCAAAACCTTTCACGAAAGGTAAAATAACTCCACATTAATTTTTCTTTCTCATTTGTTTTTTCTCAGAAGATGTGTGCAGTACCTCTGTTTGTGCATTAATGCTTGAAGAACTTTATCCCTGTCCCCTGGCTGAATCTCCTTTTTGCTAACCAGGGTATCCACAATCTTCTCAATAATACTGGAGAGCGTCTTCTCCTCTCTGTCCAGCATCATCACACCTTATCCAAGACAAAAATGAAAAAAAGGAAGTGAATGCAAAGGAGAGAGGAAGACAAAGGAGAGGACGAGGGGTTTAACCGAAGCTGAGCTTTACTATAGTAAACATAAACAGCAGGACTCAATGAGGAGCACGGGCTGAGCTGGTTTTACAGGACTTTAACTATCTGCTGTGACCATCTCATCTGAGCCTCAGCACTGAGGTACATTCTTGCTCACATTCCACACTGGCTAATAATCATATAACCCTGAACTCAATAACTCATGTCAAGATTGGACTGTTAATAATAACTCAATAATAACTTTCATTTATATCAAAATGTCATGTAGACATCATTGGAACAAACAATTACTTGTTATTTAGCCAATTAAAATGTTATGTTTTGTTTTATCAAAGACTGAATTAACATTTCTACATTAGGTTGCACGGGAGAAAATTATGAGGTAATCTTATAGCACTCACTCAAAAATTTATGTATGCTGTGTGTTCAAATTTCTTATTTAAAATGAGCTGAAACAACACAATTCTTGAGTTTTTATCGCGACAACTTAATTGATTTATTTTCAAGCCACTTAAATTTGTAAAAACTAATAAGTTAACTTAATTTCTTCATGTTGTCCCAACACAAATGTGGAACACAGCATTTTTTACAGTGCTGTTTAAATATAGATGAAAAAGTGATACTTTTATTAAGCAAGCAGTGATGCAAAGAATACTAAAAAATCATTCTCAAGTAAAAATACATTACTTTCCCAAAATGTAGTGCAAGTACAGTAAAAGTATCTGTTGTAAATATTACTCAAAGTATGAGTAAAAAGGAGCCCATTTAAAAGTACTCTGAGTATTACACTGTGAAAGGCTGATGCACTTAGTGTGGTTTATTCGTAAACTAATTTTGAGAGGATCACGTGCTTATGATCAACTCGGCTGGCTCCTCATTAGCTCCGTAATCTGCCCTATTAGATAATTTACGGAAGCATTATAAATAACCAGAATTTTTCACTTAAGTTATCTTCGTCTTGAAGCTTCCCCTCCTTCCACCCCTACTTCCTCCCCCTTTTCTGATGGGGGACACGGTGGCCCAGTGGCTAGCACTGTTGCCTCACAGCAAGAGCACCGCTGGTCCAACCTCCTATCGGGCTGGTAGGTGATTGTGTATGGAGTTTACATGTTCTCCCTGTGTTCGCGTGAGTTTTCCCCGGGTTCCCCGGTTTCCTCCCACCATCCAAAAACATAAACCATAGCCAAATCGACTAAACCAAATTATCACCTAAGACAACCTTAGTTTACACTACTCACATGGCGACAAGCAGGGGAGTTCTCGAGGCCTACCTGAGCTCAAACTCCCCTCTCGCCCTTCTAACAGGAGGAAGCCTGTTTAATATCAATAACTTCATATTATTTTGTTGTTGAAATGTTACGTTATGTATGTGATAATTAAAGATATAATTCCTGTCAAATTTATGTTTCAAATTCATGTTTGGCAAACTTACGCTTTATTTTGTGTAGCTTGTGTAATGTTTCTTTATGCTTGCATTGTTTTCTCATGAGAATTTCAGTGAAGTGTTAACGCAGGTATTGGAGAAACCGTTTTCTTACCGTCTGTTGTTAGTTAAAGGAACCTTTCTTTGTGTATCTAAACCCTGAAGGAGACACACTTAAAGGGTTAATAAGGATGCAGAATATAAGAACCGTTTGGATTTTTGTACTTTCATTTTAATAAACACACATTTGTTTATGGATTTGTCTGACGTTGTGACTAATAAAACTCAATGTACCTGTGAAGCAAAGAGTTTGCAGCTATAACAGGAATTGCAGGACTGAGTTTGCAGAAAGGTATTTTTTAGTGTAGTGATTGTGTGAAATGTTTTGACAATGTCTGATGTAATATGTTTTCCTTTGTTTTTTTCCAGTACATTGGAAGCATCTGGGCTGAAACGTGTCCTCACCGGTGTTCATTGTCCTGCGTATCTGCACAAGGCTCTTAAAGGTGAGGTAGGAGATGTGAGAAGGGCTCCATCGACCCGCCTCCACATCATATGTCTCTTCATAACCTGCCCATCTGCCCATCTCCTGCCAGTAGCTCTGCTGGTTCGGGCTCTTCGCAGACTCATTCATCTCCATGTAAGCCTGGCCACACAAAACACCAGAATGCCACAATAAAAAAAATATCTCACTGCTAACATCAAAGGGTTAGTTAACCCAAATTTTTAAATTATGTTATTAATTACTTACCCTCATGTCATTTTAATACCATGAAACCTGCATTCATCTTTTGATCATAAGTAAAGATATTTAAGATGAAGTATAGGAGCTCTCATTATTTTTAAAATATGCTCCAAGTGATGTTTAGCTACGAAATTTTTACATTATTTTCTGCAATATTTTTTAATTCATAATATTAGCTCTGATACAATTTTATTTTTTAATTGTCTACAGCCCAAACCAATGTTTCTCTGTTTAACCTAATTAACAGCATTTAAACTGAACTTTAAGCTAAATACTATTATCTGGCAAAATAACTATAAAATTATTAGGCACATTGATAATTATGATAACCAAAAAATTTTCATTAGAAATGTGTTGTTAAAAATATTATGTTTAAAAATGTGTTGAAAAACATCTTTTGGTAAATAGCACTTGGGAAATATTTTAAATAGAATTGAATTTCATGTCACTAGAGACTTACAATTCTGCCACTGACAAGAACTACAGATCCCATGGTGCACCTCACACATACACCAGTTCCAGTTCTCTCCCTGACTGCACACACACACAGCTGGAAGCTTATCATAAGCTGCTTTTCCACTATCGTGCCAAACCGTTCTAAGAACACTTCGGTACGGTTACGGTTGTTTCTCCACTGAGCCTGGAACGGCGCGGCACGATTACAAACCGTTCTTGGCCCGGAATTTTCGGCACGGTTAGACAACCGTGCTGAACTGTGCTGACAGATTCTGTGTGTTGACGTCGCGACTCGGTTGCTAAGCTACCACAGCTGGCTCAGCAGAAGCGCGCTAGTCATCAGACATCCTCAATAAACTACAGTACATTTAATATAAAATAATGATCCAGGTCTAAACGATATTTGAAAAGGATTTTAAAACCATAGAGCAGTCTCTGGAAGAGAAGTGAATAACTCATCACATTCTAACGAAGATATTTTATTCATTAAAGTTATTATTTTATTGACTTGAATACAGACCTACATCGCTTGCCTGAATGTGAGTTTATTGCACGCAGCGCTGTATTCCACAGCACAAAACTCGCTCTGATCCGGGAGAGACATGCAAGCGACTTGCGCTGCTGACTTTTTTTTCCTGCTGCGCATCGAATAAAGCGAATAAAGTCACGCTTTGCATCGTCGATGTCCAAATTCCACAACAACATCACTATATCCATGGAACACGAACTTGCAGACTCTTTTAACAACGAGGAAATAATTGCACTTTTTATTTCAAAGCCAGGACAGCTTGTTAATACCGGCGAGACCACCTGAAGGACGGCATGTTCGTGTTGTAATGTCGGCCGTCCAAAAGACTTTGCTTGAAAGCTTTACGGAGCGGCACTGTAACTGTCCAAGGTACTGTTGTATGATTTATATTATAGCATATGCACTAATAAACAAGTCAAAAGAATGAATGAATTAAATAAATATGGATTCTTAAATGTCAGTATTGCTTTTACTTAAAAAATATCAATACGTTTTCACAAATGTTTTATAAAAATAAAATGAGCAATTTTTATCATTTCAGCTATAGGCAATTATATGATTCAATTATACATAAGTTATATGACATTTATGAGGCATGTAACATGTTTCTGTGTTTTTTTTTTTTTTTTTTTTTTGTGGTGATCTTTAATATAGCTACGCAAATATTTTCTAAAACGTCTAGCAATAATTCGCCTACAGCTTGTTAGTTAATTATGAACACAAAAATAATTATAATAATAAAAATAAAATGATAAAAATAAAAAGATAATAGAGCATCATTTTGCTAAATATAATAGTGCTTTATATGCTTTAAATCCTGCGATATATTTTCATATTTGTTTTTTTTTTCACTTGCTGCATTCGTTATTTAATGTTTGAATAGTAAAACAAATAACAGCCATCGCTTAATTGGTTTCATTTTACCATCAAAATGTAGTATATTTTATATCATTATCAACTTTTTATATAAAAACGCAGTGTAATTTAAATAATTGTTTAAAATGAAATAATTTAAGTGCTGTGTTTTTATTAGTGAAAGTGCCCGCTCACCTTTGACAAGGCCTGTCCAAAATTATATTTCTGCCACTATAATGCAAATGCATTATTATTGTTGTCTTATCATTGTTTATTTTTCTGTTATGTTCAGAGATTTTAAATATTATTTATTTCCCCTCCAGTTATTTTCAATCATCACGTTACATTTTGGTAATTTTCCCTCCAAATAAAATTTAGCCAGAGCTGCGCAACATTTGAATAAATAAGGGTGCACCTACCTATATTTAGCACCCCTATATGATAGAGCGGCATAACAGTGTTTAGTCACATGGTTGCTTTTGCTTTTATGAAAAAAATAAATAAATAGTTTCTGCTCTTATTTAACTTTAATTGAACAAAGGGAGCCGTTTACATTGCGTTACCAAGGCAACTACTGATGCGTTTTGTGTAATGTTTTAAAGAGCTTTGTCGCAGCACGACAGTGGAAAATGAAACCGTAACCGTGCTGTCTGGCCCGGTTTGGCACGGAATGGAACAGTTCTGTTTAAAGAACGATTCAGCACGATAGTGGAAAAGCGGCTATAGACGGACTACTTTATTTAAATCTTTCAGTTTCACACACACTTTGCTGAGTATTGTTTTGTTTTGCATTCATTATGTAAGTGGTCATCATTGTTCCTTGTTTTCTGTGTTGGACTTTTTTTTTCATGTTTTTTGACTCTTTGCCACCTGTCCCAACCATTTGCCTGTGTTTGGTAGTGGTGGGCAGAGCGAGGCTTAATGAAACACTGAAACAGTCGAAGCAAATGTGTTCGAAGCTTTAAATGTTTTGAAACTTGTCACCTAGTGGTCATTTTTATGTATTGCTCTGGAACAGCTTCAGCAAAGAAACAGTAAAGCAAATTGAGGTAATGAAGCCGACCTTGTAGAGTTGAACTTTCTAGTGACTAAAGCCTGGTTTATACTTCTGCGTCAGGTGACCGGCGTAACCAATGGCGCATGCAACGCGCGTAGCTGTGCATTTATACTTTTGCGCGCTGTATCTGTTGGTCTGCATTAACACTTCCGAAACGCTAGTTGGCAGTAAGGTGTTAATGTGTCTCTGTGTCGAGTTTCTACGCTGGTGTTTTGTTCTTTCTGAACGCTTCCAGGATGTACAAGTGGCTCAAACTCGCTCATTTTGAGGCAAGAACCGGCGGACGTGCAACAGCTTTAATTATGAGCTAAACACAAAACAAAACTTTCCATCCGGAGCTTCTTCACAGGACTTCACACTTGTAAACAATCACTCCATCGGGCTCGCGCCACTAGCACGGCTCTCGGTCCCGCCCAGACTCGTCAGCGCTACCAAGCCGACCAATCACAGAGCTTGTGATACGCATCGTAGCAATGTGTAGTTACATTTTTTGAGAGGTGCACGTCAGCGACCCCAATGGCCATGGCGTAGGGCTATGCGTTGACCCATAGGCTACGCTGTAGCATACGCGTGCGTTTGACGCAATAGTATAAATCAGCCTTTAGTGGAGCAGTGAGAGTTCCTGACTAGCATACAGAGATAATGGGATCGAATCCAGGGTGATGCAGCTATAGATGTTAGTTTTTAAATGCTCTGTTATAGTAATGTGTTTTAACATTGGTCTGACATCCGAATGAACACTTAGTAAATAAATAAGTCTTGTTTTGGTGATAAAAAAGTTACTTTATTAAAATATATGAAGTCACAATTTTTTCCAATTCCTTTGAGCATTTGTGCAAGCTGTGATTCGAACTCAGAACATTTGCAACACACTTACTCTTGGCTACATGAGATAGAGGGTTTTCCCAACCCTGTCAATCAAACGTAAATTCGCCAAGTCTCGAAACGCTTCTGAAATGTCCAATGCTTCAAATTGTTTTAGTTATGTGACCTGGGTGCTTCGAAGAATTTTAGTCACGTGACCTGGGTGTTTTGGATCATTTTTTTGGTGCAGTGTTTTGAAACACTTGTGCTTTTGGATCTCAACACTTTGTCGAAGCATCGTCAGCCATACTTAGTTTTATACTTATAGTTTTTGGATTACTCTTCTGGATTGTCGTTTACACCCATGTCTGTCTGACCATTCTCAAATAAAGCTGCGTTTGGAACGACCCTTGTTTTGCATGTTCAGCCTTTCATAACAACTAGTCTTTTTCTAGTGCACCTCCAAAAAAATGTTTCAGACAAAACCAGATCAGGACATTTGTGTTTTATTCATCAATTTCTGAAAATTTCTTTAACTAAAAAAAATGTAATGATTCATTTATGAAAACAAAATGAATAATTTATTTTGAATAAATTGTTTCAATGACAGATTCAATTTTTCACTCACTTTAAACACCTACTGGCTGATTTAGTGTCATAACAAACACCCAATAGCATTGACAATTTGGAGGTTGTTACATATTTTTTTCTTTGTTTTCATTGTCACAATTTACTTTATGCTAGACTAGTAAAAAAGACACTTGCTCAGAATAACAAAGTTTTAATTAGTTGTAATTGAAAATCAGCATAAATCCACCAAATGTTAATATCAATGTTTATCAAAGGTTAATTTAGTTATTAACCAATGAAGTTTATACAGTGTATTTTTCTACATTTGATTACTCAATTTTTTTGTTTCTGAATAATTCTAAGAGTTCATAAAAAAAAAACATAACTTACTGTTTATTACATTGCTTGCATATCTTTGAGAGTATTTTGTTTATTATAGTTTATGCAAATGCACTGCCCTACAATGAACCCAATCAATCTAAAATGATCAATGCTTTCCAAAGAGAGCTATTCAAGTCATCTGGTATTCATATTGCAAAATTTATCAAAGAAAAACAAAATATCACAAGGTCAGTTTTTGAAATACCATGCAGCCCTACTTTTAAGTGAGACAGTGAGGTGAGATGTAATGTCAGAGCAGAGATGTAGACAACTTAAACATGATGGCTGGATCTCTGTAGGTGTGTGTTTGCTGTCTAGATATGACCGATAAAATAAAGCTCATGTTTAGCCTCCAAACACTAGCAGTGCAAATGTGGACACTTATCAGTGAGCTTGTCTGCATGTTATATCTGTCAAGTCAAAGTAACCACAGAACATCATATTAGATTCTCGGTCAACAGTAAGTCTTTGGGATTTAAATGTAGAGTCAAGACCCTAAATGATTAATACCCCTGGCAAATTCTGATTTAAAATTACTTTAATTAATTTCATCAAGTTTTATTTATTAATATTGTTTTTTTTTTTTTTATTTATTTATTTTTTTACCAGAAATGACACCAGCTTCTTGCAAAAAAATGACAAGACATTGTACAAGAGGCATCATTGTGGATAAAAATATTTTATATTTACATTTGAACAAAGTCAGAGTTTGCCAGGTGTATAAATAATTTCAGGCTTGACTGTACAGTATGTCTTACCTGAAAATCTGCTTTTTTGTTAGGTAATGTTTACATTCAGAGGACCTAAAAAACAAACAAAAATGATTAAATGTTTTAATAGTAACTAAACAAGCTGTGAAATATATATCAAAATGTCAAGAATACAGAAAAAATAAAGAAAGCACTTGAAATTAACCCTTTCTCTGGATATACTAGATTTCTTAAGTATATGTTTGAGTAAAAATATTTACGCTGGTTTTATTCTATAAGGGTCTGATAAAATTTCTTCAAAAATGTAAATAAATATACCCCTTTAGGACATTTTCCTCCAGAAAAAGACTATTGATCAGAATAGCAAATGTCTTCATTAGTTTTATTTCCACCAAATACAAAACTCTAATCTAAAGTTAAAATAGTGGTATTGTTTTGTCCAAAAAGGAATGTAAATGTCTTATTGTTTTATTCAGTTAAAAATAAGATTTAGTGTAAGTGACCCAGCATTACACATGAATCTAAGCTATTTTATGCAATTCTCTTTACTTCATCTACTGCATTTTAAGCTGCTTTGACAATCTACATTTCAAAAAGCACTATAGAAATAAAGATACGTTAAATAAAATTAGACTCCTTCCAAAGTGATTTGATCAGAAACTGTACAAATAACATTTTACAGTGCTTCTGTAGATGTAGATATTATATATTCAGAATATCCAGAATATAGTCTGAAATATTTCCCAAATGATGTTTAATAGATCAAGGACATTTGCACAGTATGTCTGATAATATTTTTTCTTCTGGAGAATGTCTTATTTGTTTTAATTCGGCTTGAAAAAAAACAGGTTTAAAAATTTTAAGGTCAAAATTATAAGCCCCTATTAGGTTATATTTTCTTCGATAGTATAACAAACCATTGTTAATAATAATTTGCCCAATTACCCTATCCTGCCTAGTTATCTTGATTAACCTATATATATATATATATATATATATATATATATATATATTATATATATATATATTATATATATATATTTTTTTTTAATTATGTATTTATGTGTACATTTGCCCATATAGCAGCAAGAAAGTATCAAAGGTTATAATAAAGACTAGTGAAGTCTTTTTGGATGTTTCAATTCTGTGTTTTTTAATTTTTTTGTAGCACAGAATAGTGCTGTAATGCAGACAATATTTTGATGTGGCAACACTGCAGTCTACTAAATCTTAGCTTTCGATTCTTGTTGAAGTCTTAAAAATGATGCCTCAGCTGTATGCCTTGGGTGATACTGTGTGTGTTGACCCTTTTACATGAAATGTAAGTAAAGTGCATTGTATTTGAAAAATAATTTAGGCTAATGCAATAATTATTATATTGCTTTGTGCAAATTATATCCCTTTGCATGGTTGGGTCATTGTTTATTTGCAAGTATAACTAACTCTGTAACATTATTTTGAACAGATAATTTAAAAATAAAATCCAAATTGTTATATAAACTTTATATATTCAACAGTAAAACACAATTAAAAAAAAAATGATAAAAAAGTAATAATAATGACACTTATTGCACTTACCTTAAATACTGTATATCTTGTCCTACTACTAAAGCAATATTGTCTGTCCAAGGCCCTCAGAAAAGTGTGCAGTCCTTTATAAAGTGTGTGTTCACCTGCAGCGGTCAGACACACCTCTATATACACTCATATTCATTCACAGCTAAAAATGAATAAAGACTGTGGGCACATGCAGTGACACCCTAAAAATCAGAATGCCATTGGAATATCAAACAGAATTACTTTAATTATCACTATATTATATATCAAAATATAAGTTTAAAATATACTTCTCTACATTTAAAATTACATTTTTGTACACAAAACATTTACAATTTTACAATTTACAAAATTACAATTTACATTTACAAATACAATTGTTAGAGGTTGTAAATCATATATAAAGCCACTAAAAATGACAAAAGTTTTGGGGGGTGATGTGTGTACAGTTTTAGATACATTTGACTTTCAACACACTAAAGTCTTCATATGCATCCATATCTCTTTGGTCTGTACACACACAAGCACACCAAAGACGATGTGCTCTTGGACTCACCCATAATATTGATGCAGTAAACAGTATGTCTTGATAACTAAAGATCCACTGTGTGTGTGTGTGTGTGTGTGTGTGTGTGTGTGTGTTTTCTGTATCTTATCACTGATTGAGCCGATGTCACCTACACACACTCTGATGACACTGGTTCCGCTCACCTTTAATGAGATTCACCTGTTCTCCTCTTTCTTTTCCTCCTCTGCTTCATTCCATGCTCTGTGAGCTTATCTTTGTCCATGCAGGCTTATTAGTCAGGCCTGTAGCTAGGGGTTCGGGTGGTTCAAAAGACCCACCCCTCACTGACAAAGGTCCAGAATTTGTCCCATACATGAGCTCGTTTTTTTATTTTATTTTGACTGCTATAATAAATTTTAAAAATAGTCTATTGAAAAAGGCTTTAACACCAAGCGGAATCCATGTGTTGGTTGTCGCTTCAGTGTCACTGAGGAAAGTTGAATGTCCTGGTTATTTTACTGCTTAAATGAATCATATTTAAATGACAATAGGCGGCAGTTTTTAATTTAAAACTTTAACAGATTCTTATTTTTTTGTTTTATAATGATATGATCTAATTGATGTATATATGATGTAAATGATAATTGATGTAAGTCTTTAGAAAATGTTTTTGGTACATCATGAAGTGTGGTTATGATGACCACCCAGCAAGCTACTCCAGCAACAATAATGCTTAAAATGTCACTAAATGCAGTATTTAAACCTCATAGTTCAATAGAAAATGAGGCATATAACTGCAAAATAGTCCACTTTTTAAGAAAAAAGAACCACACCATTCACAAGGCTTGCTACAATCCTGTTAGTGTCCATTGGAGTTTCAAGGTAGACAGTAATGAAGCCAAACGAGAACATTGTAAGCATCAATGAACACAAAATTGAACTATATATATATATATATATATATATATATATATATATATATATATATATATATCAACAGGCCCTTTGAGCTCTCTCGGCCACCATAAATAATCCTTTACATTTACATTATATGCATCAAGTTCACTTTGGCTTTCCTACACTCTCAGAAATAAAGGTACGCGAGCTGTCACTGGGGTGGTACTTTTTCAAAAGGTACACATTTGTACTTAAAGGGTCCATATTAGTACCTCAAAAGTATATCAGTACCTAAAAACTTTAAAAGGAACATATTTGTACTTTTTAGGTACTAATATGTAGCCTTGAGGTAATAATATGGACTTTTCATATACAAACGTATATCTTTTGAAAAGGTACCACCCCAGTGACAGCTTGTGTACCTTTATTTCTGAGAGTAGGACTTCCATACTTGAAAGGGGAATAAATAGATTGTGACAAAAAAAAAAAAAAAGGAAAAACTGCTTCTCATTAACACATGTTTTTCTTGTTATAGACTAGAATGTATTTTGTATTTAGTAATGCTTTGAACATAAAGTCAGCATCATCATAACGCTTGATATAAAGCAAAAGTGACGCCTGTCCAGCCCCTCCGACAATCTGAAACAAGGGAGAAAATACACCATTAGACAGTTTTGACACAATCAAAGCACAGAAACTGAAACTGTAACTGCAGAAAAACACTATTTCTGCAGAAAAACAAATGTTCAGCAGCATCTTGGATCCAATTTAGCACATAAAGAGTGGAAACAGGAAACTAAAACAAATGTGTTCTGCTTTTTGTCACGCTCTGGTTTTGTTGTCTTAACATTATTGACTGTGACAGTTTTGTACATAATGGTTACAGATGTTTATGGCTACATAAGAGGAAGAGAAGGCCCTCTGGGTTAAAAAACAAAACCTTTGGATTTCATTTACACTCAAAACACAAAATAGCAACAAACATCACTAAAGGAAATCTGTTTCTGATCTATTTAGTGTTCTGGGATTGGACAACCAACTACCAGAGCTATTAATTAGTGCTGTCAAACGATTAGTTAAAATTAATCGCATTAAAAATAAAAAGTTTGTATTTATATAATGTGTGTATAGTGTATCTTGGTCTGTGTGTGTGTGTGTGTGTGTGTGTGTATAAATATATATATATATATATATATATATATATATATATATATATATATATATATATATATATATATATTTTTTTTTTTTTTTTGTATAAATGGATAAAACATATGAAAACTTAAAAGAAATAAATACTATATATACAGTTAAAACCAGAAGTTTACATACACTGTATAAAACATAACCATTAAAAAAAAGTCGGATGTTAATGTGACTATACTTTTTCTCTTTTATGTAAGTTAGGATTAGAGATGCGCGGATGGGCTATTATTTCATCCGCAACCGCATCACAAAACTCATCATCCGTCCGCCATCCATTCGCACTAAAATTTTTGACCAAATTTTAAAACCGCACCCGCCCATCATCTGCTGACTGAGCTCTTTATTAGAATGGCTTATTCCTTTTTATTATTAAATGAATGTTTCTTTATTGATTATTAGAAAAAAGAGAAGGACTTTAATGACATGCAGTTAATCCAAACGTGCAAGTCAAATCCAGCATTAATTGACGCTTTGAAGTGACGCTAAACAATACGAGGACGTGTCTTTTCACTTGATTCGATTCCTCGGTCGGTCCTTGAGTCTTTTCCTTGCGTCCTTCCCTCGCATCCTATAGGGGTGGAAAGACGAGGAAAGAAAGCAAGGAAAGGAAACGAGGATACACAAATAAGAAATGAGAAGCACCCTATAAAGCTCTCAGAATATCAGCAGTGAACTCCGTCTCCAATTGGCGCACAAGGACAAAAATAAATAAATAGCCTAAATTAAACGCACTGGGGCCTGTTTCAGTAAGGAGGTTCAAACAACTCAGAGTTTAAACTTGAACTCTGAGTTGATTTACCGAGAGATTAAAAACTCAGAGTTTTCGGTTTCAGAACAGCTGATCTGAGTTGGGTCAATCAACTTCGAGTAGACCAACTCAGAGTTAAGCGCGCACACCGTGACTTTAAAAAGGCATTATCAATGGAGCGCAGACATTACGAGTGACTATGGCAATATCTTATAAAAGAGATCACCATTTCTTTCTCCGGCTGAACCTGATGTTCTCATGCAAAGTTATAGCAAATATGAGTGTATATATTTGAAAAGAAGCAACCATCAGTGAAGAAGAGACAGTTAGCGTGGGAAAACAGCTGCTCAAGTTAATGCCTAATTTAACTTTTTAAGTATTTAAATATTTAAGTATAATAAAATAAGTAATGAAATTTGTGACGTTTATTTTTTTTTTCTAAACTTTCTTTTATACATTTATTAGTTTTAAATGATTTAACAGTGCACTTGTGTCTGCCTTTTTTATTGATCAAGTGATAGAGGTTAATATAAAATTTAGAAGGTAAGCAGTACTAAAAATTATTTTTAGAAAGAATAATAATCCCATTAATCTAGTTACATGCATGTCGAAGGTGAATTTAATTTAATTATTTATTAAAAAAGGATAAGCCATTCTAGTACAGTTCTTCTGTGACAAAAATGTAGGCAATAGCTATTTTCCATCCAAATATATTACATATATTTATGTGCAAAACTGGAATATTGCATAGAAGATGCGAATAAAATTCCATCCAACGAGTCAAAGAGAAAAAAATGGTCACTTCCTGATTAAACTGGCACCAAATATCAACAGTAAAAACAGAATTTACTGTGGTAGAAGAAGCTGCGTCAATTAATTCTTTATTTAGCCTAATTAATGTACTTGCGCCTCGATGTCAGAAGACAATGCTGAAACACAATGAACACGTGGGGGCGTCTGAAGCCATGAGACGCAGAGACTCTTGACACACACTAGACGTTCGGAGGTAATTAATAATATACACTAATACTGAAACAGTTAAGGCATTTTAGAATGACTAACACAATATTTAAGACATGTTACAGTGTGCTCAGCCTGCTGTTTGTCCATTTACACACATTTTCATTATCATATGATCATGATCTTTTTTTTAATGTACATACTGTAATTTGTTCAGTAAAAGTGTTTCCATCGTAGATTATGCGCACATTTTCGATCGAATAAAAGTTTATGCTACTCAGTTATGCGCGTTTTTTATACATATTTTAAAAAGTTATGTGCATCATGACGTTTCTATCAATCGTTTTTATGCACGTATCCAAAATAAGCATAAAAATAGGTGGGTGGAAACGTAAGGCTAAGGCGAGAAATACCGCTTCATCTTTAAAAAAAGGGGAGGAGACCGACAGAAACTCTGAGTTTAGAGAATAAAACCTGCTTCTGACCAGGTTAGATTCACAGAGTAAGTTACCACAGTAACTGACTCTGAGTTAAAGTTACCTCTCTTTCAGAAACAGGCTTGAATTACCCTGCTTTCTCGAGTTTAACAAACCTGCCATTTTGAAACGGAAAACCCAGAGTTTCTCTCATTTCAGGGTTAAAATACTCTGAGTTTTCAGTTAACCTCCTTTCTGAAACAGGCCCCTGTACTGTACATTTTTTTATTATTATTATTGTAGCCTAGAAAACGCATTTTGACACATCATTTCAA